GCGGTTACGTTTCTATTTTAACTAGTTTTTGCATGTGACTATGTAAGCTTTTAGTGAAAGTGGTTCAAAAGTTGGTGGGATCATGTTTCTTTGCCACTTAATTTTGAAAATTGTACAATTGTTAGGGTTTGATGGAAAGTCATTCGCTCAACAAGTTGTTCAAGCAAATGCTTGATGATGTGCAAATTAGAAAATGATTCAATCATCAGCTTGTCATTATTAGATACTTATTGTTCAGGTTAATAGTTAAAATTTTGGTGCTGAGATTTATGCATAGTTTGGAAAATATCATGTTTTCACAATCATAATGATATTTCTTCTTCTTGTCGAAACAGCGTCCAATCGTCCCAAAATTTGGTAACTGGGAAAATGAAGGGAGTATTCCTTACACTGTCGTCTTCACTAATGCAAGGAAAAATAGAGGTGGGAAGATGATAAATCCAAATGACCCGCAAGAGAATCCAGATATGTTCCCCAACATGGATCCTTCTCCTCAAGCTCCTGCTCCATCGAAGCCCATAAGAACTAGACCAGAGGAACCAATTGCAAGAGGAGCAGTGAAGCCAACACCTGACAATAGACTGAGCAGAGAAGATTTTGATTTTCGACAGTCAAGCAATTCTCCAGCTCGAAGTGAAAATATGGCTCTGAAATCTTCTAATGAATCAACTCCTCGCAATTATGGAGGCCGTGGAGCAAGGTCCAATGGACCTGCAAGGCAAATTGAACCTTCACCACTTAATCCACATTCTCAGGACAAGGTTGCTGGGAGAGGTAATGGGTCTCCTTCTTTGGAAGGAAAGAACTCATATGACAGTAGTCACGGAAACCCTGGAAGATCCCGACTAAGGCCAGTTACTAGGGGAGATGAAACTGTAAGTTTAATTAATTTCATCCTGATTTTATTATCTGATGCCTCCCTTAGAGTTTCATTTCTGTAGTAGACCAATTCGTAATTTCAAAAGCCTGATGGTCTATTATTCTTGGCAACGCAGCCTAAAAGAAGTGCTGCAGTTCCAAAATTCGGCATATGGAAAGACAATGATCCTCAATCTGCCGAAAATTTTACTCAACTTTTCGAAGATGCTAAGAAGGGAAGAAAAAGGGGGCCTGGAAATATCTCTGGAACGCCGAAGCATACATCTTACAACACAGAGTTCAATAACAATCACAAGGTTTGTAGATTACTTCTTATTTTGAAATTAAGGTCTATGGGCATAGCTCCCTCTTGTGATCCTATATTTTTATTTTTATTTCAATAACAATCAACCTCATCGTTTCTCTATTCTTGTTTTCTGCAGAAATGCTGCTTTCCTTGGTTCTAATTAGCTTTGGGAGGCTCTCGTGAGTACCAATTCTAGCTGGCCAAATATAAACAAGAGTGAAATTATTATTATTATTATTATTATTATTTTTTCCCCTATGTGTGTACGGTAGTTTTTATAGTTTTGACTGTTTTGTTAAATAATGATTTTACTTAATCTTTCGAGGGTTTCTTTTGCTGTTTTCACACTGAAATGTGTTCAATTTCTTGACGAGTGATTTTTTTCAGTTTAGTGGTTATTTGGTAACGTGTGTCAAAAGAAATTAGCGCGTAAGAAAGCTTCCACGTAATATTACACGTAAATTCAAAGTAATATTACACATTAATTCAACCATATATTACATGTAAATCCAAAATTTACATTTTCTACTAAAATAATATTACACGTATATTTAAAAAAAAAATTTAATCATACATTTTTAAAACAACTATTCCAAAATACTTTTTTCCCAAAAATGTGATTTTAATAGAGCTCACACAAGAAATTAGTGTAATGACAATACGTGCAATGATAGCTGTACAACATTGAAAACACAAGAATCCATTTACAATCTTACATGGGATTATAGGATCCAGTTTGAATTATTCTACACGAACAAAATAAAAAATAGTTTGTACACGTGTCAATACATGATTGGATTGTTTGAAAAATAAAAATAATAAACACCCAGTCAGTCTGTCTGTTTTTTTCCCTGTCTTTGAGGCTGGACAAACATCATATTCCATTAAGTGACCCGTTGGAATTACGAATTTTAGACTTCAATCCTAATCTTTCTCGATTCCTTAAAGCCACCATCCTGATCACAAACTTGAATCATGAAAAAATCTAGAAATTAATCAAGAGTTAATTTAGACTAAAATTAGATCGACTCAGAACAATTAGAATCAAGCACATTATATCCCACATAGAACCATTTCAACTAGCTTGTATCACGAGAGTCGAATTTGAAGTTTTTTTTAGTTCATAGATATGTGTTTAAGATTAATATCTTGTTGTTTATGAGCATCGAATATGAAATATATGTTGGCTGTATGATTAAATTTATATGGTTCTTCTTACATGTTAAATGTTTGCCATGTTCAGGTTTCGTTATTTTCGAAGTTCGATTCCCACTTAAAAATTAGCTCAAATTAACTCACTCAAAAAATTTCCAACAAGTATTGAATATGATACATTTATGTAGAACATTATAGTAAGAAACAAATAAATGTAAAAATAAATAAATAATAATAATAATAATAATAATTGGAAAATAGAAAGGAGTGTCACATAAATTTTCTTGATCTAGTCTGTACTAATTTTAATTTTAATGCATTCTTTAATAGCTTTAACGGTCACAAAACGTCTTAATTCATGTACTAAATGGTCTTTGTTCGAAAAGACAATTGTTGAAAATTCGTTTGTGCTGAACAAACAAACTTGTCATAAGTTGAAATAATGGTGCAACGTGAAACGATAAATAAATGATGAACAAAGAACGATCTAAAAATACATTGGTCACAAATTATACCATGGATTTAGAAATCAACTATTAATTGATTCTTCACAAAGAATGCCAAATTTTTTATCTTGACCGCAAAGTTGGGCATCCAACGAATATCAATTTAGGACCGACAAATTGGAAGAAATTCAATATTGAGATAAAATTTCTCATTATATAAATAATAACTAAAATCTAGATAATGACAAAAAATTAAAAAGTTCTAATCAAAATTAAATTCCTAATTTGTTCACTAAAGAAATACTAACTAAAATATAATTTAAAACTCTTAAATGTTAATGAAATATAAAACATAGATAAAAATTGAATAAATTTAATTAAATCAGTCATACATTTAACCTTCCAACATTTCTTCCTATCAACGAAAAATTCGTCCTTGAATTTATACCTTGTTATAATCCAAAGTCTCTCTCCTGATTCAGACAAATAAATAACGAAAATCCTAACTATCATAGAATTTTTAATTCGTGTAGTAAAGTGATCATATTATTCAAGATATCAATAATTGAATGTTCGTTAATTTTAAGCATGTAAACTTGTTGAACCCCAATTTTGAAGGCCCCCATCGTTCCGCCCTTAGAACTTTGTGTGGGAGGTAAATCGCAGAATGTGCTCCAATAGGTCAGAGAACAAGAGATGTCTGTACACTGCGCCTATAAGGAGTCCAATTTCATGTCTTGGGAATCGAACCCTCACACTACAGCTGCCAACAAGACGTGAGATAACTTTACTCCTATCCTTTGCACCACTAGACTATGCCCCGGGGTCATTAAGCATGTAAACTTATTTCAACGGAAAATAGTCTGTCCGTGGTAACTCTTCAAATTAAGTTTTTGCACAGTTTGTGCATGTAGTGTCCTCATTCAAAATTTGTTTAATTTTTATATAAATAAAATAAATTATCCACACCATCCTTAATTATTATTAAAATTGTGTTGCTATGTGACGTGTTCCATATAAAACTATATAATTGACTCAAGCTTCTACTTTTCAGGTATATTCTGAATGTTCAATCAGTATCAGTAACAGATAAGAATACCTTAAAGTCTTGCATTATCTTGGAATAAATAAAATAAACATATGGCAGGTTAAATGTTTAACCTTGATTGTGATTTTATCACTATCATATTTATATACTCCCTCCGTTAAACCTAATTAATTACGACATTTTTCACTTATAATAATAATAATTGTTGAATAGTAAACTTGATTTTTGGATTAAATAATATGGATTTAAAGACTTTACTTATATGTCCAAATCAATTAAAAGGCCTAACATGTCTAGTATTTCTAAAAATATTATCTAGAAAAATCTATATAAATATCTATTAAAAAAAATCTATAAATATTTAAGTAAGATATGTGGTCTTATAAAGAATATCTAGAGAATTCTAAGAAAATATTTTGATGTGCGGTCTAGGTATCTCTAGAAATTTGTATGGACTAGAAGCTTCTTATAAATACTATATAAAGGAGTAGTGTCCTCCATTTTATAACAAGCCAAAAAGTGTGTAAAGTTTTGAAGTTGAGAAATACAAATTTTTTTTCACTTCCTTCTACCTATTAGTGTTGTCCTCTTAAAAGCCTTAACTAGTCCAAGTTAGTAAAATCATCTTTCCTCCAACAAACTGGTATCAGAACCCTAAGGTTTTTGTGAAAAATGTTAAGTGGGTCGATTCCTTTTCAAGTCCTCCAACTCAATACGGATAACTATGACAATTAGAGTATAAGGATGAAAGCATTGCTCGGGTCGCAAGATGCATGGAAGATCGTAGAGAAAGATTACACGAAGCCACAAGACGAGTTTGCTCTATCCTAAGCACAAAGGGATAGTTTGAAGGATGCAAGAAAGAAGAACAAGAATGTGCTCACTCTCATCTATCAAGCCTTAGATGGAGACATGTTCGAGAAAGTAAATTGTGCTACTACAAGTAAGGAAGCATGGGAGATCTTGCAAAACTCCCACAAAGGAGTTGAGAAGGTGAAAAAGATTCGACTCCAAACACTTCGAGGTGAGTTTGAAGTTTTACATATGAAAGAATCGGAATCAATTTCTGATTACTTCTCTAGATTATTGGCTATTGTGAATCAATTAAAGAGGAATGGAGAAAAGTTGAACGACACTCGAGTAATTGAGAAGATATTTAGGTCTTTAGATTCTAACTTTGACTACATATTTGTAGCCATTAAGGAATCTAAAGATCTAGACAGTATGAGTGCCGATCAACTCATTGGATCTTTACAAGCCCATTAGGAAATATTAAAGAAGAAGGTGAAAGAAGAGCCATTAGAGCAAACTCTTCAAACAAAGCTCACTTTGAACGAGGGTAAAGAAGATTCGGCAATAGAAGAAGCCAAAGAGGAAGAAGACGAGGCCAAGATCGAGGAAGAAGTGCATTCTACAATGAGGAAAGAAGACAAAACTCATTTTCCACCAGAGGTCGTGGAAGAGGAAAAGGTACGAGGCAAAATGAAGGACCAAGATATGACTAATCTCAAATTAAATGTTACAATTGTCAAAAACTTGGTCATTATGCTTCAGAATGTAGAAATATTACTAATCAAGTTGAGGAGAAAGCCAACTACGCTTGTCAGGAAAGTGAAGTGGATCCTGCACTACTGTTGGTTTACAAAGGTGAAGAGAGCAAAGAAAATAACACTTGGTATTTGGATATAGGAACAAGCAACCAGATGTGTGGAAGGAAAAACATGTTCGTAGAGCTAGACTAATCAGTAAGCGGCAACATTACCTTTGGAAATGAATCCAAAATTCCAGTGAAAGGAAAAGGTAAAATCTCGATCCGCTTGAAAAATGGTACGCATCAATTTATCTCAAATGTCTATTATGTGTCCAATATAAAGAATAACATTTTAAGTTTTGGACAACTCTTAGAGAAGGGCTATGATATTCATTTGAAAGATCATAGTCTTTCAATAAGAGATCAAAGAGAAAATTTGATTGCTAAAGTCTCTATGACAAGAAATAGAATATTTGCGTTAAGTATTCAAACGTTGCTAAATGCTTAAAAGCTTGTTTTAAAGACTTATCTTGGTTTTGACACTTGAGATTTGGGCATCTTAATTTAGGAGGCTTAAAGTTGTTGAGTAAGAAGAAGATGGTGAAAGGTTTGCCTCCAATAAATCATGAGAATCAATTATGTGAAGGATGCTTACTTGGAAAGTATTCGAGGAAAAGTTTTCCAAAAAAAGCTTCTACAAGAGCTAAAAAGCTGCTAAAACTTGTACACTCCGATGTTTGTGGGCTAATTAATCCAACCTCTCTCGGTAAGAACAACTACTTTATTCTTTTTATTGATGATTTCAGTAGAAAGACTTAGGTCTATTTTCTCAAACAAAAATTGGAAGTTTTTGAAACTTTTAAGAAGTTTAAAGATTTTGTTGAAAAAGAAAGTGGATATAGTATAAAAGCCTTGAGATCAGATAGAGGAGGAGAGTTCACCTCCAAAAAGTTTGAGAAATATTGTGAGGAGAATGGAATTTGTCACCCATTGACGATTTCATACTCTCTACAACAAAATGGAGTAGTCGAAAGGAAGAACAGATTCATTCTTAACATGGTCCGCTGCATGCTCAAAAGTAAGAGATTGCCCAAAGAACTTCGAGCCGAAGCTGTTAATTGCGCCGTGTATCTGTCTAACCAATCACCTTCTAGAATAAGGTAAAGCAAATGGAGGATTGCATCTTTATCTCACAAGCAGGATATGCGAAAGAAATTCTAAAAAAATTCAATATGGAGGATTGCAAGCCTGTATGCACCCCCATCAAATGCGGAATCAAGTTGTCGAAGAATGATGAAAGTGAAAAAGTAAACCCAACACTTTCAAAGTATTGTTGGAAGTCTAAGATATTTGACATGCACAAGGCCACATATCTTTTTTGGAGTTGGGTTCATCAGTCACTATATGGAGACACCTACCATGACCCATATGAAAATTGTAAAGAGAATTCTTTACTACATCAAAGGTACGCTTGATTATGACTTAGTCTATTCATCATCTAATGAATTCAAACTTATTGGATATAGTGACAATGACTGGGGCGGAGACAGTGATGATAGAAAGAGTACAACTGGATATCATTTTACTTGGGTGACACAGCTTTCACCTGGAGCTCAAAGAAGCAATTGATCGTAGCACTATTTACATGTGAAGTTGAATATGTTGCAGCTACATCAAGTGTCTGCCATGCAATTTGACTTAGAAACTTGTTGAAGACGCTTGGAGTTTCACAAGAAGAACCCGAAATCCATGTTGATAACAAATCGGTATTGGCATTGGCAAATAACCCAGTATTCCATGATAGAAGCAAGCAGATTGATACAAAATATCACTTCATAAGAGAAAGCATTGCAAAGAAAGAAGTGCAACTGAAATATGTAACCTCCCAGTAGCAGATCGTCGACTTTCTCACTAAGCCACTCAAGCATGACGTGTTCCGCAAGTTAAGAACTCTACTTGGAGTAGCAAAATCAAGTTTAAGGGGGGATATTGAGTAGTAAACTTGATTTTTTGATTAAATAATATGGGCTTAAAGATTTTGCTTATGGGCCCAAATCAATTAAAAGGCCCAACATGCCTAATATTTCTAGAAACATTAACTGGAAAAATTTATATAAATATCTACTAGAAAAATTTATAAATATCTAAGTAAAATATGTGGTCTTATAAAGAATATCTTGAGAATTCTAGGAAAATATCTTTATGTGTGGTCTAGGTATCTCTAGAAAATTGTGTGTATTAGAAACTTCTTGTAAATACTATATAAAGGGGTAGTGTCCTCCATTTTGTAACAAGCCAAAAAGTGTATAAAGTCTTGAAATCAAGAAATACAAGTTTTTTTTTTTTTTTTTTTCACTTCCTCTTCTTATTAGTATTGTCTTCTTAAAAGTTTTAACCAATCCAAGTTAGTAAACACATCTTTCCTCCAACAAACGTTCCTGTCATTAGCATATGAATCCTTTGTAGGGGTGAGGTGGGGGGATGATAGTGGTGCATAAGCAGCTTTCCATTTATGAAGAGACCATTCAATTCTGAGAGTTTGAAGAGCAAAACATGAAAAAATCTGTGTGTAGTGGTTGTTATATTTACTGACTTAGCATAACGAGGGAAAGGCCAATCTAACGCCCAAAAGAAAGATTTCCATTTCATTTGATAATTTCACCTGGACCCCACCATTTTCTTTGTTTTTGAACACCATTTTCACCTGGACCACACCATTTTCTTGAGTTTTGACACTTCCATTTTCATTTTCCGTTTCCAAGAAAAACTGTTCTGAATCATAGCTTCATATTAGTTCGTTAAAATGCTCCTTCAAGTTTGCTTATATTGTTATTAAAGGAACATTCTTTTTCCAGTGTATATGTAGACCGGGGAGTAAATTTTTAAGTACCTCCTCAGCCTCGAACCTTGAAGAGAGCCTTGTTATGGACCGGTTTATCTTTATAGACGTTGATTCGTAATATTCTATCTGCAGCTAACAAAATTTATAGAACTGAAATTTATAAATATAACTCATATGTGTGAATAAAGAAAATAAATTTTACTTTATAAAGCAATACTATGAATAAAGGGTAAATAATTATGGTGTGCTATGATAAAAAAAAGGGAATTTTGCATAGATGTCCCTACATTATTAATTGCAAATTTTTTTATAACTTTTTCAAAAGGTGCTCAAAAATATTTTTTATTTTTTTTATTCAAAATGTCAAAATTACTCTTGTTGATATCTTTTTGGGTATATTTATTGCTCATTAACGCTAATTAATGCCATATTTGATGTTTGATTTCTGTAAGAAAAACCTATGAATATATCTAATATACAATAGATAATAGAATTGTTAACCAAAAAATAAATAATAAAAATTATTTCATAATCTTTTCCATCATATGCTAACTATAAATATCGACAATTCAACTGTTAAAGTCGAAAAAGACATTTGAACTGCAAGTCTCAAAGGTTGCTAATATTTGATATAATTTAGTGGAATGGACAGTCGAAATCTTTGAAGGAGCTGAAAATTTTATACGTTTCAAAAGCTGTTATGGGAAATATCTCACAGCCTTGGACGTGGTATTCCTTATGGGAATGACTGGTCAGAAGGTAGTTCAAACTTCGCCCAGAGAATTGGATTCTTCTGTTGAATGGGAACCCTTTATGGATGGAACGAAGGTAAAGCTGAAAGCCAGGTATGGCAATTTCTTGCGGGCAAATGGGGGCTTGCCTCCGTGGAGAAATTCAGTAACTCATGATATTCCTTATATACATCATGATTGGATTTGTTGGGAAGTTGATATTATTGAGACTCGACAAGATGGAGAGTCGGGCTTTGCTTCTTTTCGTCTGCCATCCTACAATTTCCCGAGTTCAGGTTCATCTGATGGATCCCCGAATATATTTGAAGGTTTGTATCCGTTAGCTTTTGAGTTTCTTACATGAAAATGCTACAAGGTGCATGATTAGTGAAGAGCAGACTAGACAGTATAAGAATGTCATTTTAAAATAAAAATCTAAAATAAAATCAAGAAAACATGAGACAGATATCCATTCGATTAACCATAGACATTATAACTTAAATAATCTATGTTCTGAAAATCTGCGCGAACATAAAATTTGCTGAGAAACTAAACCAAAGTCTCATGAAAGGAAAACCATCTGTCTAATCTAACATCCTTTTATTTTTTTATTTTACTTTTGTAACGATTGGAAGCAACTAAATTTGTGAATAGAGTAAGAAAAGAACGACTTATATGGTTGTCGTCTTGCATAGATCTAAGCTTAAGAAAATCTGAGAAAGAGCCACCAATTGGCACCAATTCTCTTGTTCGTCCACCATTTGGATCTGCAACTGATACAACCGAGGAACCCCAACTACTTGGAAATCATTCTAAAGTTTCAACACCAGGAGGATCTAACTCAAAAGGAGATGACTATAAAGTTGACGTTGGAGAGGAACCAGGTAAATCAGCTTATAGTTTGGTACCAAAACCAGGATAGTTTGTTGCAACTTATTTGAAAATTTTGTAACTTGTCAGGGAATTAATGAATATATGAATCTAACATGCATATAAGGGGCAAGCTGAAGATAGGATTTTAATAATTAAATGTGTGCCCTGTCTAACAGATTAAACTTTTAGATGAAGTGGTTGACACATATCAAAGATATTACATGTAATTGACTATATATTGTTGTCAATTGATAATTAGAAGATTTCTCAAGAAATTACTTATTTAACATGTTCTCTGCAGGTAAAGATCAAAGTGAATCTGAGAAAGAGCCACCAATTGTCACCAATTCTCCTGTTCGTCCACCATATGGATCTGCAATTGATACGATCGAGGAACCCCAACAACTTGGAAATTATTCTAAAGTTTCAACACCAGGAGGATCTAACTCAAAAGGAGATGACCATAAAGTTGACGTTGGAGAGGAACCAGGTAAATTGACTTATAGTTTGGTACCAGAACCAGGATATTTTATTACAACTTATTTGAATTTTGTAACTTGTCAGGGAATTAATGAATATATGAATCTAACATGTATATAAGGGGCAAGCTGAAGATAGGATTTTAATAATTAAATGTGTGTCCTGTCTAACAGATTAAATTTTTAAATAAAGTAGTTGACACATATCAAAGATATTACATGTAATTGACTATATATTGTTGTCAATTGATAGTTAGAAGATTTCTCAAGAAATTACTTATTTAACATGTTCTCTGCAGGTAAAGATCAGAGTGAATCTGAGAAAGAGCCACCAATTGTCACCAATTCTCCTATTCGTCCACCATACGGATCTGCAACTGATACGATCGAGAAACCCCGACAACTTGGAAATTATTCTAAAGTTTCAACACCAGGAGGATCTAACTCAAAAGGAGATGACTATAAAGTTGATGTTGGAGAGGAACCAGGTAAATCGGCTTATAGTTTGGTACCAGAACCAGATATTTTGTTGCAACTTATTTAAAAATTTTGTAACTTGCCAGGGAATTAATGAATATATGAATCTAACATGCATATAAGGGGCAAGCTGAAGATAGGATTTTAATAATTAAATGTGTGCCCTGTCTAACAGATTAAACTTTTAGATGAAGTGGTTGACACATATCAAACATATAACGGATGCTTTTAATTTGTTTCATTTATACTAAGATAGAATCAAGAAAGGGAATTCAAACAGCACATAACCTTTGTTTCAGGCACCGAGGAGGATGGACAAACAGAAAGCAAATATCATTTTTCTACAGTTACTGCAATGGAATTCTTCAAGAAGGCTAAATCCGTCCAACTTAAGAGCTGTCACGGCAAATATTTAACAGCCGATCCAGATGAAGAATCTGTCATCCAAGATTTTCCTACTTGGTCAAAATCTATGGTATGGAAAGTAGAAATCGTCCAAGGAGTTGAAAATTTTATACGTTTCAAGAGCTGTTATGGGAAATATCTCACAGCCTCGGACGTGATATTCCTTCAGGGAATGACTGGACGGAAAGTTGTTCAAACTTCGCCCAGAGAATTGGATTCGTCTGTTGAATGGGAACCCTTTATGGATGGAACGAAGGTAAAGCTGAAAGCCAGATATAGTAACTTTTTGCGGGCAAATGGGGGCTTGCCTCCATGGAGAAATTCAATAACTCATGATATTCCTTATACACATCATGATTGGATTTGTTGGGAAGTTGATATAACTGAGACTCGACCGAAGGGAAATTCAGGTTCAAAATCAATCGAAATTCTAAAGAGCATAGTTTATGGAGGTTTAGTGGAGTCAATCACAAGCTTAAGTATAGTGTCATCTGCAGCGGCTTCTGAAACTGCCACAGGTCAGTCTTTCACTACATACATTTACTAACTGCAGTATCTTTCAGAAATTTAACATTTTGTTTTACACATTACTCTTGCTGCAGTGAACATTGTGGCTCTTGGGTTGGCAAATGTGATAAGTGGAGTATTCATTATTGCTCATAATGTAAGTAATAATATTTTATATCATCATTGTTTCAGTAAATTGTGGTGTTTTTGAAAGAACTGCATTGCTAAGATTGATTACGTAAACATTCCGCCCTTGTTTGAAAAAGTTATTATTATTATTTTTTTTTTAAGATTATAAGCTGATCAAACTTTATTTTTAAGAGAAAATTTCATTTGATCTACTTTTTAAACACGCATTTCACCATCAGTTTACATTCTCAAAAAGCTTTGTCACACGGGGATAATACTTTATGTGCCGGAATTTCTTGCATGGTCTGAGATAATAACTTTAAAAGGCCCATTAGAATTAGCATTCTTGTTTTGACCCCTTCGTTGCGAGGAAAGCCCTTCTTCTGAAATTACGAGATTATCTTGTCGAGTTCCTTAGTATTTTCTTGTGCTCCTACTTGAGTCCAATATTTTCCAAATCACATATTTTATTTTTTTTCCCTTAACTTCAAACTTAGTGACAATGCAGCTGAGGGACATGAAGAATGCGTCTCCAGAATCAGACTCAAAAGAACGAACAGATAGATACGAAGAATTGATTGGCAGGAAAGAGCACTTCCTACTCCATCTCACTTTCGCCATTCTATCGTTCCTTCTGTTTGGCCTTATCCCTCCAGGAGTTTACGGCTTGGCATTCAAGCTGACTGGCAATAATGATTACACAATTATAGCAGTTGCAGCAGCTTCATTTATATGCATAATTCTTCTTTCAATTGGAAAGGCTTATTGTCAAGGGGACCAAAGTTTTGGTGATTACTTCAAAACAATTTCGTACTATGTCGGCAATGCAGTTGCTGTCTCTGGTGCTGCATATGGACTGGGATATGGAATCAAGATACTCGTTGAGAAGCTTGGCTGGTTTGAGCCAAGTACACCTACACCTACACCTGCCACTTTGTTCAATACTGGGACCACTCCTTTCATAGCTTCTTCTTGATGTCATGAGAGTCGAGTTGGAGAAGGAACTTGAGGTCGTTTTAGTCTGTCTGTTGTGTGTTTTCTATAATAAATCATGTTGTTTGTCCGTATTTCCCTCTCTTTTAGTTGGCTTAGTTTTTTAATATGTGAGTAATGAGTGTCGTAAATGAAATTACGTTGGTATGAATAAAGTTACATGGTTTTGTACTCCCTCTCTGCGTATATCTAAAACCTAAACCACTCTTTTTGAAGGCCGAAAATATATGGGAACATCAGTTTATGCTTTATGGTTCATCCAAAGTTGTTTTGAGATAGTGGGGGAGCCTAATTATTGCAAAAGACGATAAAGTTGTTCCAGGCCCCGTTTGATCAACTCCGACAAATTTCCCATGGCCTAGCTGATAACAGCAAGCTCGGCTTTTCGGCTAAGTGCATCGACCACGAAAATCGCCTTCCCGAGTTTGCATAGTCGAATTCAGCCAGGAAGTCTTGCCATCGAGCCTGCTTCGGGCTTAATTTGTTTTTCGACTGAAAGTAGCCTTTAGCCACATTATCCATTTTAATATCAAAGTAGGAACAAACGGATAATGGCGCCATACTCGCAGGAAATACATGATACTTGTCATCTATATCTCTTGCACCGTTTATCCGCGCTCAGTATCATTTAGCTTTCGACTCCCACAGGCAATCGGGTGGCCCTCTTACATAATCACGCCTCCAATGACAAAGTCCCGGGCATTAGTTTGTACTTCCAAGGTTTTACTGAAATCTGGTAGCACTAACACAGGTTATGCCGTAACTGTAGCCTTCAAATCACCAAATCCTGCCCTGGTACGATACTTTGACCAGAAAGTGGTTGACAAATGAAGTGTCATGATGTTAGTTGACAAGATGTGATTGATAAAAAAATTAATTATATTTAAAATAATTCAATGATGAAATGTCACATGACATTATGTAAACTATTATATCAATAATTATGTCAATGCCGCATGTTTCGGATTTGCCAAAATTAAGCCCGCATGACTCCAGTTGTTTAATTAGAAAACACTAACCCGTGGCAGGAAGTATATATATTAGCATTATATTTGTTTATAATATGTTAAGGAAACCATGAAACCATTTGCCAAGGTTCTGCTTTTGCTCTTGATTATTTTTCTTTATGAGTTTCTTGAGAGAACTATTCTATGTTATACTCTTCTAAAACATTTTCTAGTCAAACGAAACACTTCCAAAATATTATTCGAACAAATTCAAATGCTTCTTGAGGCTTGCTTGGGATTTTTTTCATCGATATTGACCAATTTTTGTTGAGTGGCACCGATTTTATGTGCTTCATCAAAAATAATAATAAATAAATGAATAATCTATTGTCTCAATGAGCACTCACAACGGAAGACAGTTTGCTCCGTGTGGTAATGTCCTAGGCATATTGAAAGTGGTTAACATATCCCTGAAAGTGCATTTTCTTGGCCGTGCAGGAAGTTGACATTGTACCGACAACAACCGAGCTGGGCGTTCACATGGATGGGATCGGATATTTATTTATTTATTTTCTTTTGCCATTTTCTATTGCACTGCGCCCAGCATGGGGCCAACCCATGTGAGGGGTCTGTATTTCCCTTGTACACAAGGATTTATTCATACCGATTAATACAACCGAGCTGGGCGTACAAGCCCAACTCTTACAGACCCTTTTCAAGGGTCTCACATGGATGGGATCGGATATTTATTTATTTATTTTCTTTTGCCATTTTATATTGCACTGCGCCCAGCATGGGGCCAACCCATGTGAGGGGTCTGTATTTCCCTTGTACACAAGGATTTATTCATACCGATTAATACTATATAAGAAAATGGAAAGCCGCTTTAATGATGTATTAATCAAATAGCAGATATTTCCATTTAACAGGTACTTTGGAAAAGCACACCAGTTATATACTCATGACTGCAGATAACTTAAACTACAAATTTAGACGCCATGTTTTGGAGAAAATGATACGTGATACATGAAAGACGAGCACTTCACACAAAGTTCATACTCAGAAACCTGCATCAACTGCCCTCAGATTTCTCCAAAGCTGCAAAAAAAAAAGAAATCGCCATGTGAGTTCAGATAACATAGCAGAACCCCAAATTGTGTTATTTGGACATGTTTAGGACGCAGTATTGCAACAAAGCTTTTTCTTTCTTAATATTGTGTTACTATATTGTCAAAACATACAGACTTCAGTACTGTGCTTTCTTATTTGTGTTCTTAATGTCATTTATGTACAAGTGAGTCGGGACGTGAGTGGAGGGGTAGGAGTGGAGAATTTCGTGCAGCACCAATGTTAAGGAATGTGTTATCCCACATCGGTTTAATACCGAAACAAATACCAATTTATAAAGATCTTGGGCTTCTCCACTTAATAAAGTTAACCTTATTAAAATGGACCCTAAGTCTTAACATGATATCAGCGCCACCCCGTTAATTTCAAGATTGGTATGCTCAAATGAGCCACCATCTTGAGGGGGTTTGTTAAGGGATGTATTATCCTACATCAGTTTATACCGAAATAAATATCAATTTATAAAGATCTTAAACTTCTCCACTTAATAAAGTTGACCTTATTAAGATGGACTCCAAGTCTTAACAACAAACAATACCAACAACGTTACACGGGAATCTGGTTACGTTAACATAAACTTGAAAAAAAATATATAAAAAGATATTTAAAAGCTGTCTAAGTGAGAAATGAGACATAATTATGAAGAACGTAAAAGAAAAGAAAGGGAGAGTACTGTTGTAGTTCAGAAGCTTCTCAATGAGATCAACATGAGTCATCAGCATTCTTCTACAACAATAGCGAACCAAACCCAATGCATCAAGAGCATCTCTGTAACAAAAATAAAAAAAAAAAAAAAAATTATCATTAGATCTGGAATTCAAAATTACCACAAGTGTAGAGTGACCTATATTTCACTAACAATGACAAGTAAATTAGGATTGATGCGGCTTTTTCCGTTCAAATAGAAATAAAATACAGAAAATGTCCATGTTTCTTGGTTCTTTATTCATTATTTCACTGGTCTAATCAGGACCTAGCTGATAGCCTGATACATTATCAGTTCACATCTCAGTTGGTCGTCATTCCCAGGAACGACAGAAGACACATTCCGCAGCCTGCAAACCTGTAGTTTGTGGAGAAGCACTACCTCCATCAAACCAAATTCTTATAAATAGAGATATGGAGCATCACTCGAGGAAATCAAATTCCTGCCCGCATATGCAACACCAGCTACAAAGCTGATAAGCAATATCACACTCAATCCTGCAACTGTATTAATGCTCAAACATACACGTAGTTTTCCTCCTCGAAATACAAAAAGGTCTACACCTTTGTCCAGGATTTGGGAAGAAAAAGCCATCAAAATTTGAGTACAAGATATTTTGTGGCCCTCGTGATTTTATTTAAGGAATTTAATAATTTCAAAAATACTAAACTTACACGGTTGTTTAATAAATATCATGTATTAGAATATGTGTGGACAGCACTTATAATCAAATATAACTTTTATTCACAATTTTTCATTGGACCCGCAACTATCACACACATATTATTCCCACATCCCTATGGGACACCAACTTTATCTCTTAGCCCTTGTTTGTTCCCCATTTTTCTCAAAATACATTTTTCTCTTTCTTCTTTACAACCACACATTATCCAATAAAATAATATTACACGTAAAATTAAAACTTTTTCTTAATTCTTAACCACACATTCTTCATCATTTAACTATTTCAAAATGCATTCTTACTAAAAAATGGGAAACAAACGGGGGCTTAAATTATAATTGAATCACCTACCAAACATGCACTTAAAATCCCATCGCTCAATTTGAGAATTACGTAGTTTTTAAACTACGATGATGAAAATGACTATCTTTGAAGCTTATCTTAAAGTGTCTTCTCTCAACTTATAAAATGTAGGTTCCCTCCATTATCCTACGATAAAACTCTCAAGCCTCAGAGAGGGAAACATGGTTTCTTAATCACCTTAATTTTGAAGATTCGATCTTCTTAATAACTTGCTACACAGCAAGGTGTGCTTCCTCCTAGATTGATTCAGAGTCTGTCAAAATCCCAAGATTTGGGAATTTGAGTATCTAATGGAATTTCTAATACCAATGAATCTTACCTCAAAGATACTACAGCAGAAAATAAAGACCATAGAATTTTGAGCATCTACAATTACAAGGATGCTTTTGCAGTTTATTACACAAATCAAATAGTGAGCCATCAAATTATAACATAAATGAATTGACAGATTTAAAATATTCGAGGTGTGGGTGGTACATCATGGCCCACCCTGCCTCCATGCTGTGTCCAAATCGAACAAGCTGAGCATAGCTGGGGTTCAGACATGCTAGGCTTACCTCAACTTATGCTCCACTTTGAATCATTATGCAATTAAACACAAGTCATTGCCAGCCTACTCAACTCATTTAAGATCCTTTCAATGTATACCAATTTCAAATTTCCAATATAACTCAGAAAGAGCAGCAAGAGGACAAGGGGTGGCATATACTAAATAAATTCGGATGTCTGGAAGCATGTGAATTTTGTCACTCTATCAGCTATTATTGGTGGACAGTAACAGAATACTAAACAAAAAATGCCTTCTCAACATTAGATGTTTCTTTAGTTCTTAATCTCAGCCAATTTGACTAATTTATACGGTACATTATTGCTGATAAAACAGCACTACAATATTATAGATTTCCGATTACAATGGTCCTGATTGTCATTCTTCATCACCTTGTATGAGGAAATTACAATACCTACGAATATCCAGCACATGGATGTTCATGCCTAGAATCAAGTCATTTGACTTTTATCCACAGGCATTTTTTATCAATTTAGGAATAAAGATACCCAATCCTGTACACCCAAGCTCATTCTGAATTGAAGAATTCAGCAAGAGACTTAAAAAATGTACACTACTTCATTAAGAAGCTGCTTGTTACATGCATGAAACTTTAAAAAGTAAAAATATATCTGATCAGTAATAATTTCAGGTCCTTCATAAACTTGCAAGACTTCTAAGAAAATAAATTTTTAAGCTTTTAATACTTCACACAACCAGCAACAACTTCTACAAACAGCGTAACTTAACTTGAGACAAAACTGAGTTTTTTGTTTGTCAATTAAAACACATTCCTCAGACTCAATTAAAACTGTATGCGAAATTAAAAAAAGAATTCTCCGAATAATAACAAAGAAAAAATCAACCATAGAACTCATAAGGTACGTACCCTTCTGTGTAATCAGCCTGGAGCAAATCAAGGTACGTATCCCATTTGTTTCCAATTACCTAGCAAAACCATGAAAAAGTTCATATTTTCTTTTGAAAAAAAATCAAGATTAAAGTAGATAAATTGTTGGAATTATCTACCTTTCCACAAGTAAAGCAACGGACTGGAATGATCATATTTGCCCGCTAGGGTTTCGTTCACTACACAGAATATAAAATCTAGGAGAAACGCCGGACTTTATACGCACGAAAATTTCAGGACCTGCAAAAATTTGGTTTGGGCTTTTCCATCAAAGCCCTCTAATTTTATTCCCATACCGAAAACTGATATAAATAGCACCATATGTTACCTTCTTCGATTTTATACTCTTCTTTTTTTTTTTCTTTTTTTTTTTTTTGCATAAATACTTTGTAACCTAGAACCTCCGTTTTCAAATGGTCCATATTCTTCCATTCGTTGACTTTCTCCTTTACTTTTCACTCGAATTAAGTATGTACACATAATTTATAAGAAATACATAGAATAACAATTCAGACTATCAACTAGTATTGAATTCATCGTGCTTGTTCACAATAGAATATGATGTAGAATGACGAGGAATCACTTTATAGTATATCTACACATTGTTTAACACTCCTAAGTAACTGACTTTTAAGTGCAATGGAATGAGGTTCCAAATTTTACCACGATCTTGACTATAATCTGTATTGGTCGTTCAACCAACAACACTGAATGACCCAAACGTAGTACTGTTTGATCTAACCTCTTCCTTGTTTTCATATACTATTGGAGCAATCATAGTGTGAAAGCATTCTGTTGTAAGATTCACGAACAGGCACAGAAGCAATAGACAAAAAGAAAGCACTCATCCAATTCAAAACAAATCGAATAAAACCTGGCACTTTGACCAACGCAATCAGTCGATGAATTCCATTACAATTTTGAAGTAACTCATTTGTCTTGTGTATTCTGAGTATTATGGAGATAAGCTTCTACTTTTCATCAGCGGCATTCATGATGCCAGAGTCATCACTTGGGACCACTAAACGTATGGACCATTTTGCCTTGAGACCATTAGCATTCCCTAATGACTTTGTTTGCTTGTTCATATCGAAGGATTATCTTGGACCAGAAGCCAGCTCCAAGGGAAAACCATAGTGTGGTTTGTTGATGTTGTTGAGGAAATTCCAGGAGCATTTTGTCATCTTCAACCCATTGCACCATTTTTTTTGCACCAGAATGGTTAAATACCTTTTTGTCCTTCTCTTCCACTTTTCACAAATTTTTGTTAAAGGTATTTGTGTCCATTTTTGTTATACACTTTTATCATATAACAAAATATTATTGTTATTATGTACATTTCTAATAAATATTAATCATTTAATATATAATAATTAATGAATGAATGAACTAAAGTAAAAATGCACGAGACATTTTAAAATGTAATAAACACGATTCTCTCAATAATTCATTGCTCGTCATAAACAAATCAAGGATAAAAAAATGCTCATATTGCACTTTGAAATGCATTAATTGATCATTTGTAGGATGAATATACGAATTATAAGAATTAAATTATAATACTAGTTCGACTTCGTAATATCATGATATTGAGATTCGAAATGTATTGCACTCTTTTTTAATAATATGATTTAATATTCTCTTAGTGGTATTTCTATTAATTGTAGTGCTTTTTTAAAATTATTAATGAATTAAATATTTTCATTAATTTAGCTTATTTATTTTGTTGTAAAATAAATAAATTATTAGGAACGAAGAAAATAAAATACTGTTCATTTGGTGCAACTTCTGGTATAATAAATTGGAGGCTATTTTCAGTTTGATGCAAAATTTACCTCAATTTTTGGTATAAAGTTGGAAATAGTTTACGGATATATTGAAATTTGTATATCTAGTGTCACTACTTTCATGAGATTCAAAACTTCCTTCAACAATAGGAATAACATGTTGGAAAATGATAAATTGCTGATATCATTACTTTGGGTCCGTTCGACTTGATTTTTAAAATGTCAAAATGAATTTTCGAGACCAAAAGGTTATTTTTGGACTCATTTGACTAATTTTATGTAAGTGATTCTTCTACTTAGAAGAATTTTTAAAACTAATTCAATGTGATTTTTTCTAAAAGTGCTTTCGATATTGAAAGCTCTTTTAAAAATTAATTTTCAAACAAAAAATAAAAAACAAAAGCAAAAGTCATATGACATGAGCCCTTTATATTTAACAAAAGCACTAATAAAATGTTGGTCATATATTCACATATTGAATTTATATATGTAATAATTTATCGAAAATACAAAAATGCTTATAATTTATTAAATTTTCAAAGAAGAGAAATGAATTTCCTTTTAGAACTCTACTACATTTATAGAAATTATGTATAGATCGGTTGACAGGTGCATGCCTACTTGTACAAAATTATCTATACAAGTAGGTTAATTGTTCTTTTTATAATTAGTAAAAAAGTATGTGTAATTTGTTTACCAAACAAATTAATAATTATTTACTTTTGACAAGTTAATTGGGCTAAGGCTTGTAGAAATAGATGGGGTGTCCTCAACTAACAATTTGATGGATTTTAAAAAGGGAAAAATTCATATTTAAGGTGTATTCTTTACACCATTTCAAAAGTAAGGTAAGAAGTTTGAAAATTCAAAATTCAAGTTTGTATTTAATTAATTAAAATTATTTATTAAATAAATATATTGAAGTCACAGTTAAACAATTATTGGTCACAAATTTCACAGATTTATTTACCAGTCACATATCATCAAATTAATAGGTCACGGATTATTTCGAGATCACAAATCGAAAATTTTATAGGTCACAAATTTTTTTAGTCACAGATTATCAAATTTTAAGATCACGAACCAAATCGTTGAGGTCACAAATTATTGTTTTCATCACAGATCATCAAATTTTAATGTCACAGACCAAACTTTATGGTCACCCCCACCACCGATCCCATCCAGCACAGCCTTGCAGCAATAATTGGAGAATCCATGTCTCCGGCGCCATCCAAGTGCGCGAAATGACGGCTGCGCCTCCGATGCTATGCATCAACGCCTGATGTGCCATCTCGCTAGAGGTGGTGTGTTTGTGGTCTCCGACAAAGGTCGTGTAAATGGATGGAAGAGAGAAATAGGGGAGAATGTTACGGTTTAGAGAGAGAAGAAAGTAGTGAAATGATTAGGGTTTTGGATAATTTTTTTTTAAAATATAATTATTAATATTAAAATTTTTAATTATAATCTGATTTCTGAATAACTAAACTTTGAATATGATTTTTGAAATTGGATCTTAAAACATATGGATTGGTGTAATTTCCCCTTTTAAAAAATTGAGGATTCCTTATGAATTTTGTGAATTTAAATAAATTTCCACAAATTCTATAAAAATCCCATCAAATATATTGAAATTTCAAAAGATTTAGTTATATAGATTTTTAAGCTTGAAATCCATTCAAATTTTTTAAAATCACTCTATTAATGAAATTTATATAAGTCCATTAGTTATTGATAATACTAAATTTTACAGGATTTTATTGAATTTCAATAAAATATTAATTAGGGACACCTATATTTTAATGAATTTCATTAAAGTTCATTAAAACCTCAATTGAAAACATCTAAATTCAGAATGACTTTTAGAATCCATCACAATTTTAATTGAAGACACCTCCAAAAGCGAAATTTTTAATAATAATTCTTTAATTGAATTAGTTTATTTTAACTTTAAAAAAAGAAAAAAGTACGTGGTTTTTGGCATCTAGGTTCATATTAGTCACATCTTGTAAAGTAATGATCGAATTACATAGAGTTGATAGTTTTTTTCACATCTTTTCTATATACAAGGCATTTTCTTCATCCTCTAGCCTAGGCCGTACATTTCTTGCCTATCAACACTTATTTACATAGTCAAAACGACACTACTCAAAGAGCAACACATCCTAACATCAGCAATAAAAACTTCTCGGGTTGTTAACAACAACGTATACTATCATTTGAGCACTCAACCCCTAAATTATACAAGTAAAATTATCCAATGGCGATGAAAAACTTCGATTTTCTAATAGAACAGTATCGATAGATGAGAGGGTTGCTAACGATGGTGGTGGTTGCAGTTGCAGTTATTGGTGGTGGATTTTAATTATGGTTGTGAGTGGTGGAGAATTTGGTGAGGGGGGATGAAAAGATGACAAATTATTTTTATTTATTCGAATTTGTTATTGTTTTTCGATTTTATTTTCTCTTATATGCTTGTTTACTATATTTAGCTCTTGTTCGACACCTTTTAAAATTTTAATACATTTTTTCTTTTTTTCTTTTTTTATTCACACATTTTTCAATAAAATGATATTATACTTAAACCAAAAATTTGTCCTTCGTTTATAACTACACATTCTCTCGAAAAATGCAGTTGCAGTTGCAGTTATTGGTGGTGGATTTTAATTATGGTTGTGAGTGGTGGAGAATTTGGTGAGGGGGGATGAAAAGATAACAAATTATTTTTATTTATTCGAATTTGTTATTGTTTTTCGATTTTATTTTCTCTTATATGCTTGTTTACTATATTTAGCTCTTGTTCGACACCTTTTAAAATTTTAATACATTTTTTCTTTTTTTCTTTTTTCATTCACACATTTTTCAATAAAATGATATTATACTTAAACCAAAAATTTGTCCTTCGTTTATAACTACACATTCTCTCGAAAAATATTATTCCATAATACATTTTACTAAAATTTCTCATTATAATGTGTGTCAAACGAGGGCTTAAGTTAGATAATAAAATTGTCATTTTACATGACATTAATCTAAAATTAGGACGGAATTCGTAAAGTAGAACCATTTTGGTGAATCACTTAAAAGATTAGGGGAGATACATGCTATTGTGGGAAGGTTGAGTGGGACCCATAGTATAATTTACCCTTATTTAATGTTTAATTTAAATGCATTCATTATCCATACAGAATTATATATTGATTAGAATTTAATTCATACTACACTCCCACTTCAACTTCAACACATAATAAAATATAATTCTTTTGCCTTAAATCCTTCGTTACATTTTATTTCTTCTCAATCTGAGAACATTATTGTTTGAAGAAGAAATGGCAATTAATTTGCGCCGGAGCCAAAGGATTCCGGCACAGGGTAGGGACAGCGGACCTCCATCTTGGTCCTCCATATTCACTTTCAGATTCTGTGCGCTATCTCTTACAATCACCGTTTCAGTTCTCTTCGCTTTCTCGTTTCTCTTCATTGCCCCATTATTCCCATCCGATAGTTTTGTAAGTGTGATTTAATTTTTATCTGATTATTTTTGTGATTTTTGTAGTATGTAGTTTATTTATCTGTGCGTGTGATTTATTATTGCGTACAGAATGTGTATATATAGGTTTTTGACTACTTATGGATAATGGATGCAGTTATAGTCATTGTGAACGTTTTCATTTTGAATTGAATTATATGTCAACTAATGTGCCACTTGTATTAACGGATATAACAAAGTGCAATATTCAATTTATTCGTTTAGTTAAATTACTCGCATTTTCGTAATTTTGATAATATGTCTGCGGACGGTTGTACAGATTTTTTTATATTTCTCTCTTTTTTTTCTGTATTTTAGGGTTTTTCTAATGTTCAAAATGGAGTTAAGACGGAGTCAAATCGGAGATCAGTTTTGGCACTCAATACATTAAAGTCACGGCTTGATCAGATCCAACGGCAAGCAGGAGATCACAGAAGCTTAGCCATAGCTTATGCTTCCTATGCTCGGAAGCTCAAGCTCGATAACGCAAAGCTCGTAAGAGTTTTTGCAGATCTCTCTCAAAATTACACTAGTCTAATGTCTCATCCTTCCTATCGCACATTATTTGATGCTGATGCAAGTGCAATTGATGAGGCAGTGTTGAGAAAGTTCGAGAAGGAGGTAAAAGAGCGAATTAAACTAACAAGGCAAGTTATTGCCGAGGCAAAAGAGTCATTCGACAATCAGCTGAAAATTCATAAGCTCAAAGATACCATCTTTGCTTTAAACGAGCAATTAACTAAATCAAAAAAGCAGGGCGCTTTCTCGAGCTTGATTGCGGCCAAATCAATCCCCAAGAGCTTGCACTGCTTGGCTTTGAGGCTTATGGAAGAGCGCATTGCTTATCCTGAAAAGTACACAGATGAAGGGAAGCCCACCAAGCCAGAATTAGAAGACCCAAAGCTTTATCATTATGCTATTTTCTCGGATAATGTGGTTGCTGCTTCAGTCGTGGTGAATTCAGCAGTTAAAAACACAAAAGAACCATGGAAGCATGTGTTTCATGTAGTGACTGATAAGATGAATCTCGGGGCCATGCAAGTCATGTTCAAGATGAGGGATTATAATGGGGCTCATATCGATGTGAAGGCCGTGGAGGATTATAAATTCTTGAACTCTTCTTATGTTCCGGTGCTGAAACAGCTTGAGTCTGCCAACTTACAGAAGTTTTACTTTGAAACTAAGCTTGAGAAAGCAACCAAGGATACAACAAATATGAAGTTCAGGAACCCAAAATATTTATCAATATTAAATCATCTCAGGTTCTATTTGCCGGAAATGTATCCAACACTGCATAAGATTTTGTTCTTGGACGATGATATAGTAGTTCAAAAGGATTTGACTGCGCTTTGGAAGATAGATATGGATGGGAAGGTCAATGGGGCTGTGGAGACGTGTTTTGGATCATTTCATCGGTATGCACAATACATGAATTTCTCTCACCCTTTGATCAAAGCCAAGTTCAGTCCCAAGGCATGCGCATGGGCTTATGGCATGAATTTTTTCGATTTGGATGCTTGGAGGAGGGAGAAATGCACTGAAGAGTACCATTACTGGCAGAATCTGGTGAGATTGCGTGCCAACACAATTATTAATTACTTGCTAATTGTTTGGTATTAGCTTCCACAGGAAGTTGCAGTCTTGCTTCCACCCTGCAATTTCACTTGTGAGTTAATCTAGTTTGACCAGTGTCACGTATTACACATTGTGCTTAACTCAAGGACTTTTAAATTTTTGTAGTTTCTATGGCATTATTGCTGGGGGTCAAAGTCTAATTTGGTCTAAAGGTTGACGTGACTTTGTAATTATATACTCAAGTCCTGGTGTCTTTGCCTTGTGTTGGCTCTCCTCTGAACTGTAGTCTGAATTATGACTTTGTTTTTGTTGTCCGCTGGATATTGTGATTTTAAAACCGTGCATTTGATATTCTGCAGAATGAGAACCGAACTTTGTGGAAGTTAGGGACATTGCCTCCAGGTCTGATCACATATTACTCGACAACAAAGCCACTTGACAAGTCTTGGCATGTTTTGGGGCTAGGCTATAATCCAAGCATAAGCATGGATGAGATTAACAATGCTGCTGTCATACACTATAATGGAAATATGAAGCCGTGGCTTGATATTGCAATTACCCAGTTCCGTCCGCTTTGGACAAGGTATGTCGACTATGAAAATGAGTTTGTGCAAGCCTGCAATTTTGGTCTTTGAATATAGGTTTGTTGATTGGAGCCAATGCTTGGAGGAAGACTAAGATAGTTCTGCAAGCACTTCCAAGGCCTGATACTGCTCCTTACACGTAAATTTTTGCTATTGTTTATATTGTAGTCTTGTAGAAACATTCATATCTATAGTCTATTCTAGTATTTGCATTCATCTCTTAGTTTTATATTAACATAGATTATTATTACGTTAGAAGTTGTCCTTCTATTCTTAAATAGGTGTTCAATGCTAAGTTCCCTATGGTAGGAAATTAATGTCATACACTGCTTGTCTACGTCAGAAACTTTGGCTGTTAAAAACTTACATATTGGTAATGATATAATTATTTGATCATTGTGATCACCCATCCTTTTAGTTTCCTTCACAATTTTGGCTAGAAACTCACTATTTGTATTTTCTGTTAGCCATTTCTTTATGTTAAACGTATGTCCTGCATGAATGAATGCAACCTCTGCCTGTCATCTCATACCAACTGTTTATTTTATTGAAAATTGTGTGGTTAAAAGTTGGAGAGTAAAAAATTTAATTTAATGTAATGAGAAATAATGGGGTTCACACAGGAGCATTGTCAGCCTAGGAAGTCAAAATTTGACTTCTTAACTAGGACCGGCCAAGAAGAATAATCCTTTTAACTAATGTTTAGAGTGAAACCGTTCACCAGGGACGTTCGTGATGCTAAAATTAGAGGTTGGGCAAAAAAAATAAAATAAAATACTCCGTGGCAAAGGTTGGGAGCCAAAATGTAAAACTAATCAAAGGTTGGAAATTTTTGTTAGTATTTTTCTTTTCACTTGAAAAAGAATTTTTCTCGAACTTTTTAATTAGCCAATTCTATCAACAAAACAAAACATTGATTTACTCACCTTCTCTTACATATGAAAAATACTTCATGCATATCACTTGGAACGACGGTAAAATACTCCATGCTTTTCACCCCCAAATCATTGATTATGTTAATGCGGTAAATTTCTCTAGGGATCCCCAACCTTTCCTAATGTGACATTCACATCTCTAACATGCACAATACGAAAGGTTGGTAACATAGAGAGGCACAAACTAAAGGTTGAAAACCTGAATGTCACGAATAGAAAAGCTTGGGAATGACAAAGGAATTTGCCTCATATCTTGAAGGCTTTTATAAGCCCTGTATCCTCTGCTATTTATTTCCTCATTTGAAAGTCCCTTTTCAGTCCAATCAAATTAGAATGAACAATTCTCGTTTTTTGAATTCAATGCGAGACTCAGAAAAATGGCGTAAACCCATTTTGTCATTCAAGTTTTCTCTCGTTCGTAGTTTAAATTTGACTTTTTGTCCTCATTTATTAACTTAACAAATTTGGATTCTTTCTTTAAAAAATTACAGAATGCACAAAACACAAGTTCTAATTATTCAAACTTGATTTTAAGCTCTCCCACAAATCTCTTAATTCAACATTAAAAAAAAATTAAAAAAAATTACCCACTAGTATCAAAATTAAAACAGGCCTAAAAGACAATTCATCAACTACAAAAATAACCCAAAATGTCCGTTGACTGGTGTACTGCAAAACAAAACTTACTTCCATCTCATATACTGACCAACTATACCCGAAAATGGGAAAACTGTAAAAGCAATTAGTGAGAAACCCGATGAGAAATTTACCAACAATGAAAATGTCACCCCAAAAGATATTGAACCAATAAAATCACTACAACTCGAAAGAAAGCCTACTGAAATGACTATAGCAGATGGATACACAATGGTGCCTCAAGCAGTTAAGGACACTCGAGGTGTCATATTTTTATTAGTCCCATTGGTCATTCCACCTGTTCGGTTCATGCGACCACCGTTACCGTTAATACTGTCAGATCTGTGATATCCATCACCACGATTTGATGATCCTCCTCGATTACCACCCCTGTTGGACTCATTCCTAGCAATGAAATCACCACGGCTGTAACCCCGGCCCCCTCCATAGTTTCCACGCCCTCTCACTCCCTCATTTCTGAATCCAGAACCCCTCCCAGATTGGAACCTCCCCCTGTTACTTCCTGCAGGCATAGAAAAATTAAGAGGGTGTGTGGGAGACATTTTTATGTAAAAATGCATTTTTGAATAATAAATTGACAAGAAATGTGTGATTGAAAAATAAGGAAAAAATTTTTATTTACGTGTAACATTATTTTAATAAAGAATGTATGGTTGAAAAAAAAGAAAAAAAGCATTTTGAAAAAAATAGGTACCAAACGGGGCCTAAATATATATTACATGAAAAAATGTTAAAAAGATATAATTATAGTTCAACTACTCAAAAATTAGTTGAATGCATTATTACTGGAAAAACACTGCAAGAACTTCAAATAATCAAATAAATCAAGTAATCCTATCTTGAGGCAAAAGTAGTCTACTCAATTAACTGCAAAAGAATATGCAGCCAGATCACGATCATATACTCATTTTCCCTTTCTAATTCTAAAACTGATTCTCGAACACGACACAGAAACTCCAACAGTATCCAACTTACCTCGAGAATTGGTAGACCTCTTTTCCTCGACCACCACCCGACGCCCACCAATTGCAACTGGAGAAGCCTGAAAAATTAAAATAATATAGTTAAATGCAAAAGTGCAAGTAAAAGTAGATAAGGCCAACAACACAAAGCGAACAGATCGAAGTTATTAGAATAGATGCTTGGGACTATACAGAGAATCATCTGTACAACCCTTGCATCCCCTCTCTTGTTCAAACAGTTGGCCCTCTTCTCAATAAAAGAAAAGGGAAGAAAGCAGAAGGAAAAAGGCTCGCATTGAGCCTTTAGCAACAGATTTACTCTTTTCTTCGTGTCCACATGATTCAGTATATAATGCATCCAAAGATGAGCCATAATTCTACTCAGTAACGTGACGTACGTTTGGTAACAAAGATTGAAACATTTATATATAAAGTGTGATTGAATAATCATATGCACAAATGTGAATGCTTCTGGAGGACATCTGAATAACCATCAAGTAAGAATATATTATCAGTTGATAGCAGCCTAACGTGCTACTGCAAAAAAAAGCATATACAAAACACTCCCAACAACACAAAGTATTGTGTATAAAGCATCTTAAGAAAAATGCAAATTTAGCATTCATGAGGTCTGACCGGTATTATTTACCCTGACGCCGATGTTGCAAACTTCTCTCCATTAGATTTCCATCCAATAACTATATATCAACAGATGAAAGATCTGTTTTATTTTATACAATTCACCAATTTGTGAAAAGAAGATTGAGATTGGGTTGAGGTTCTACTATTGTGTAGGTTGTTTAATTCTTCGTTATTTGTTCCTGGGTTTCTATAATCTGTGGGTTCAGATTCATAACCTAAAAATAAATCTTTTGGGCAATGAGCCTCAGTCAGGAGATTTAAAAAGAATAAAGTTGAGATTGTGTGCAGGTTATACCATCCTGTAGGTTGTTTAATCCTTTGTTATTTGTCCTTCGGTACCCATAATGTGGCATATTTTGTAATTTGGAATTGGAAGTGACAAATGATGAAATTGTTATCTTTTCCCAAAGAAACAGTAGTAGATAGATCCAAAAAAATGAAAGAATAGAAAAGATTCCAATAAAATAAAGTCAAGAATTTTTCAAGGATTAGTCTTTACCGATTTATTACCCTGCCAAAGTACAGTTTTAATCTAAAAATCTTGTAAACAAAATTGAACAAATCAAAAGTATCAATATTCATATGTATAGTATTAATGCAAAAAACAACATACCTCAATTGCTTTCTTGGCAGAACTCGCGTCCTCAAATTCAACAAAACCAAAACAAAATGCCTGTAGCTGCAACAAAAATATTTAGAACTGGTTTTTTTTGTTTAGTTTTCTGCAAATTACAGAGACCACAAGCATTTTCATTTTTTCCTTCTCTCTTATTGAACAATTAAAAATTTGATACATACTCTGTTGCTTCTAACTTGAATGCCATCACTTTTTATGGGTCCAAAATCTTTGAATACATCCTCAAGCAAGGATTCAGTAGCATTCATAGGTAGGCCTTTTATATATATCGAATGACCATCGGCTGCTCAAAGTATACAAAATGGTTTGGAATATACTTCAGTAAGCAACACAAATAAGTAAAATAACAACTTAAACTATTGATAAGAATAATTTGCAAAAATATAATTTAGAATATCATGCCTTCACCCTCTTGGTTATTCCCAATATCAATTGCATCTGAACTGGAAATTGGTCCAACAGTCGTTGGAACTAAAGGTGGATTTACTTGCTCAATGATCTTTGATGGAGCTTTCTGAGGACCAGGGGGAGGAGGTGAGAAAGTTGATGCACTCTCTTTCAGATCCATCACCTGAAAAATTATTGTGTAGGCATTACGATGAGCAATAAATTATACATAAGAAAGGAATATGGCCATCAAATCATACCATGATTTATCTTTACATTACAATACTATTAAAAAATCCCCCAACAGTAGCAAGATTCAACTTAAATCTCTCATAAAAGCCCATGTCCAGGTTCGAATAATGGGGACTTTATAAAAATTTGTGAGGAGAGCAAATGCTCAAGTCATTACAAAAAAACGCACATTTTTTTTGTAACAGCATAGCGTCTCTGTGCCCAAACCGTTATAGCATATGTACACTCCACTTTGGGAGAGCACCTACCATCTTACTCCATGCAACCTTCTATCGTGCCTCCCAAGAATCGTACTCAAAACCTATGTATTCAACTTAAATCTCTCATAAAATAGAAATCTTGGTTCGAATCCAAGGGGGCGAAATAGAAAGTCATGAAGGATATGAGGGAAGATGTCTTCTCAAAGCAGCCAGTACATATGATATAACCACTAGAGCACAAAGATTGGATCATTACAATTGATGACACAGAGGCCAAATCGTTACAATTGATGACACATCTTGTTATATTTTTAAGAGCCCCGTCTCTTACAATAGCTATAATACATTTCTTTATTTTATTGCCAACTAAGATCTCTTTCAAGTGAATTACCTTCAAAGAATCCAAACTTTCAAGCAAATTCAAAGTAGAAGTGAAGTACTTCTTTGAATATTTGAAGTTGACGACTTTTCTCGGGTTAGTCAACTTTTTAGCCTATGCTATCACAATTCTCACTTTTGCTTGTGGATGAGCTATCTACTACCTTTATGACCACCAAAATGAACCAAATGTTTAACATCTCCATCTTAAACCACATTCAGCTTAATTATGACACAATCAGATTAGTTAAATTATACATAGACGCGCACACAGACACGTACTGGCAGTGCAACTACACATATAACGTTAATAAATACAGATTTCTATGCATTTATGGATCTAGAGATGGAGAAAGAGATTACTTGCATAGTGGTGGCGATACCCATGGAGCCATCCTCCTCGGGACGACCGAGCTTACTGATGTCCTGATAAAACCTATGAACAAGCTCCGGCGAGTGATGCAGTATGTGATAGTACTGTTGCACAAATGCATTTCCAACCTATTTTTCCAAGAAAGTTCCCCACAAATTTACAAAAATCCAGCTGCCTCAAACTAGAACCACAACAAAATAAATAAATAAATAATAAAAAAAATACAGCGCTTACAACTTGAGCAGACACTTCTAGCGTAGCCTCCGTTGCCATAGCAGAGAGATGATTTTCCTGACCAAAAAAAATAAAAAAAATAAAAACCGGAATAACATAACAATGAGCTCATTCTCACATACAAACCCCTAGCTTAATCGATCTTATCGTACTTTCAACATTTCACTATATTACTAGTTAGTGAGGGCCGGGATCAAATCATACCTGAAAAACGAATCGGAATATCGGATCGAATGAATAGCGAGAGAGAAACCAGGCTTAGTTTGTTTCTCTCTCTCTCTCTACTTTTTTTTTGAATTTCACTATAAACACTTGTTTCACTGCCTCTGGAATGGGAATCTAGGGTTTGCTAGAAAGAGAAATTGTAAAGAAATGTAGGGGAAGAAGAGGGTTTTAAAGAGGCGCAAATGCGACACTGAAGTATGGAGAGAGAGAGGAGAGGTTTAAAAAGAGAGATCTGCTCCAAGCTCAAAGTCGGCCATAAAACATAGGCATATGTGGCAACCCCTAGTGAAAGGGTTTCCCTTGGGATATATTTTGTAACAGTTATTTTAAAAAAAAAAGGGAAATTTGCAGTAAGAACTTCAAACATTTAAAATATTAACAGAGTTTTTTCAAACATTTCATTTATTGCAATCGTCATCCTTAACATTTCCAAACGTTGCATGTGAAGCCCCTTTGGACGGTTTCCGTCAAAAAATCTGTCAATTGACCATAAAAAAAAAAGGAACTTTGACCATCTTTTAATCAATTTTACAAGGGTAAATGGTACATTTTTTATTTACCACATTAAACAATTAAATAAACTTAAATAAAAAAAAAGAGAGAAGAAAAATGGATCTTCTTTCCCACCCCAGCCCCTCAATCTAAACCAATAATTTGACAGTTCAATGTTATTAAAAATCATCTTCCTCTAATCGTTCTATTCTCTCTTTGGAAAATGAAAGCATCGTTTCTCACTCTACGCTGTTTGAAGAAACAGAAATACCATTTCTCTCTCTACTCCACTCAAATCCAATCCCTCAGGCAATCTCTCTCGACGGCGACATAGATCTAACATCAATCCATTCATAGCCTACTGCAATTGTGCTTGTAGCATCTTCATTTTGACCTCCTACTTCTTCGCCAAAGCCTACCACGTTTTGACTTCAGCATTTAGGGGTTGAAGTATATAGATCTGACTTTGGAATATTTTAGGTGGTGGTGGTGGAATTTAGGTGATGGTTGTGAATTTGATGTGGTGGTCGAAGTATATAAACTTGATTTTAAAGTAATCTCAGGTGGTGGAGGTGAATTTGAGATGGAGGAGGTGGTGGTGGATGTGGATTTGAGGTCGTGGTTGTGATTTTGGTGGCAGCAATGACGTTGACGACAATGGTGCTGGAATGACGTGGCTAAGTGAAGTGGGTTGGGTTGGGTTGGGGAAGAAGATCCATTTTTGTTTTCTCTCTTTCCTTTTTTTTTTATTTAAGTTTTTTTAATTGTTTAATGTGGTAAATAGAAAGGTACCATTTTATCCTTGTAAAATTGATTAAAAGATGTTCAAAGTTTTTTTATGGTCAACTGACGGATTTTTTTACAAAAACCATCCAAAGGGGCCTCACATGCAACGTTTGGAAAGATTAAGTGTGACGGCTGGAACAAATGAAAGGTTTGGGGAAAGTCTGCTAATGTTTCAAAGGTTTGGGGCTTCTGCTGCAATTTTCCCTAAAAAAATATTTGATTAAAAAATTAAAATTATCCCGTTTGAATCTTATTTTACTACATTTCATTTTCTCTCTCATATTTTCAACCACATAATTTTTCATAAAATAATAATACATGTTGTTGACCCCAAAAAGTATTGCCAACAAATGTCGGTCCCACCGCGCACACGTGGGCGAATGTCCAACACGCTAAGACACGTAGACGGTCTAAAATGAGCGGTTCTAAGGGCGTGGGAGTAGCCCAACGACGCGGGACAGTGACGTTCGGAATCCGACGAGTTGTTCGTGATCCGATTGTACAATAATTACCAACCGGTGTTCGTAAATGTATATGTAAATGTGTATAAACTCGATTGGTGTATTGTAAGTAAATGAGAGAGTTGAGTAAAGTATAGTTCTTTGTATTGATTCTTGCATTAGCCTTTTGATGTTACACAAGGGAAGTATTTATAGGGATACATGTGAAATGGGAGCCCTTGGATGAGGTAGCACGTGGCATCATCTCTTTAATTCAAACATCACATCCTAGGCATGGGGCTTGACTTGCTAGCTTGCTGAGCATTTATTGCTTTGTGCAGGGCCTTTATACTAGTGACAAAACTTGACATTTATGCTTATGACAAACGTTCCATCAATCATTCGAATAAGATCTTTATGCAGACGATCTCTTGGAAAAAGTGAACATGGAGGACACTCCTTCGTGGTTCGGAGGCTCCTGCGTCTGTTTCGGGGCTTTGGCCATTTCACACGATACTTCTGCTTGAGGGCTTCAGCTATCTTCAACTGGCTTCAGCATCATGGGCTTCGGCATGTGGACCTCAGGTACGTTTACAGGCCTCAGTAAAAAGGAGCCTCGGCTAGTGGACTTCGGCTTGAAGGCCTCGGAGCATCCCACCTCGGCAATCTATGCCACCTTGGTTGGAATACCACGTGGATCGCCCTGAGTGGGCCATAATGGTCCAGGTGAATTGGCCAAGTATGACCACACACAACAATAGTCCCCCAAGTCCAAGTGTGGTCATTCATGTAATGCATGGACTTTAATGAAGTAAAAATTGAAAGAATTTTTGAACCCCAAATAATAGTCCCTGAAGTCCAAGTGTAGATATTTATATCAGAGTTGGAATTAGAAATGTGTTGCCGTGGGTGAACGATGAAGAGACCGAGGCTGTGTTGATGTTGAAGGAGAAGCTAAGGTGCTTGGGAACCGAACCTTCGAGGCTTGACGGATGAATGTTGAAGAAGAAGCCGAGGTGCTTGGGAATCGAACCTGCGAGGCTTGATGGCTGAATGTTGAAGACGAAGCCGAGGTAGTTGGGAGACCGAACCTGCGAGGCTTGATGGATGAATGTTGAAGACGAAGCCGAGGTAGTTGGGAGGACCGAACCTGCGAGGCTTGATGGATGAATGTTGAAGACGGAGCCGAGGTGGTTGGGAAACCGAACCTGCGAGACTTGATGGATGAATGTTGAAGGAGAAGCCGAGGTTCAATTGTAATGATTGTGCCTTGATAGCTGTGCCAATGATTTGATGTTTTGTGCTTGTTTTCGAGGAAAGATGGCTGAACCGTTACGACTTCTAAGGCGCCTGCTGCCGTCAAATTAAAAATACAATTATGATGGCAGCTGGAGCTTCTAGAAGCAGACGCGTTCGATGGGGCGCGTGGGAAGCACGTTTGAATCTGAGGCGTAGGTTTGAAAAACCGTTTGAATTCAACGTCTCGGATTTGATCTACAATGAAAGGCTCAGATTGACTGAGGTTCGATCTGACGGCTAGGGTTCGTCCTGGACCTCTATAAAAGGTGAGAAAATCCTATTTTTTAGGACTTTTGAAACTTTGAAATTTGATTCTCTCACAAATTTCTGAAATTTCCGGCGTCAAGGCAGCCCGTTTTTTGATTTTTCGGCCTAACTCCGTTCGTAGTGTTCTTTCCTTAGGTATCATTCACAGGAAAACCTTATTTTTGTTGTTAATTCTGTGAGATGGAGTCCACCTCGGGTAGGGAGTTGGTGACGGTGGCGTCGTTAGATTATGGGGTCAGTCAGAGGAGGGATGCCGAGGTTGATAGTTATGCCATGACCGAAGACCCAGTAGACTATACTGAAGAGTGGGGGGCGTCTAGGGTACCCTCAAGTATGACGTGGAAGAGGTTAGAGGAGATCATGGAGAGATACAGTGTTCCCTACTCCATAGAGATGCTAGTTCCCGAACCAAATGAGCGAGCTTGCTATCCGAGGTCTGGATGCGTGGCTATCAGTGAATACCTGTTTAAAGCAGGTATGCGTCTTCCTCTGTACCCCTTCTTTAGGACGGTGCTGAGGAATTTTATGTTGTCGCCGACCCAGGTTCTGCCAAATGGGTGGAGCCAGTTGGTCGGCTCATACTTCCTGTGGAAGGAGGTGTCACTTGGGGAGGACATGCCTCTCCATGTATTCATGACTCTCTTCCAGCCCCGGATCATAGGGAAGGAGTCTAGGGGGTGGTATTATATTACACCTTGGGAGGTTTACGTACCCTTTGTGGTGGGACTGCCTTCCTCCATTAAAGGGTGGAAGGAGTCCTGGTTCTGGGTGCGGGGAAAATGGTAGGCAGTGGAGGGGGACAATGCCCTTTCTTGCACAGTGCCGACCTAGTACTATGAAGCTCGTGAGTCTCCCAGCCCTGCTTGTACTTCTGAATTGAACACTTAGAAAATTTCTAACTGTTGGGGCTTCTATTGCAGATTGTAGTACGAGGTTCGAGCTCAGCAGGGAGGAGTTCGAGGTGATAGAGGACATCTATAAGAGGCCTCTGAAGCTCCGGCATTTTGACCATCTGATTGACAGGAGTCGCTATTTCCTGGATTTTGAATTGATGGCATCCAGAGGTATGAGGCTCCCATAGTTGTAAATTTTCTTGTCCTTTTGATTAGATACTGACGTGCTGACCTGACGTTGATTTGCAGATAAATTCAAAAGGAAGGAGTACCCAGCTCCAAATATGGCCACGATTTTGAAGGCCACCACCACCTTCAAGGCTAGGGCCTTGAAGCGGGGGTCAAGTGGGGCCAATGAGGTCCAAGGCAAGGTGGAACGCCTTTTCAAGGACAGTACTCCAAAGGCTCCTGAAGAGGGAGCTTCCCAAAGGCAGGAGAGGCCAAAAGAGCCTCGGGGCAAAGAGAAGGTCCCAGGGGAGGTGTAGAGGAGGAAGCTGGTGCACGTTACTAGCTCGTCCGGGAAATTTGGGACATCAGTGTCTCATGAGGCCAAATCCACAGGCGAGCCGAAGATGCTCGCATCTGCCTCCAAAGCCATCAAGATAGAAATGGTCAGGCAGGCTCAGGCTGAGGAGGCTAGGGAGGAGGCAGCAAGGAGAGCTGCCGAGGCTGTCAAGGAGGAGGCAGCTAAACAAAAACCTGCTCAGGAAAAGGGAAAGTCTCCAAGCTTCCTAGCTAGAAGGGAGGAGACCTTGGCCCTAGCATTGGTGGAAGCTCTTCCAAAGGAGGTTCGAAGCGCCATTGAAAACTTTTATAGGTTTTGGACTGACAGGTGGCAGCTGCATGCCTCCTCCTGTGACGCATCCGACCTCACGAGGGCGTTGGTGAGCCAAAGCGTCAGAACTTTTGGCCTCGCTCTTGAATGCAGGGAGGCCCTAAGTGATTTTCAATCAAGGACCAGATCTTCAGAGGAGAAGACGACCTCCCTTTCAGAGGAGGTTAAGGCGGCTAGGGCCGAGGCGGAGGAAGCCAGGGCCCAATAACTTAA